CAGAACACCTTCAAGGCCTGATTTCAGAAAAATCATCAGGAAGACCTTGAAGAAAAAGATCCCAAAAAACAAATAAATAACATCTGGCCAGAGGACGTGAAATAGTCTCATCATTTATGGGAGAGTTTTTTTATCAAACGTTTTTCATCCATCTCAAATACAGATACACACGCCCACACACGCACACACGCACACACACACACACACACTCCAGTATGTGGCTCAGCAGAAGGCAGGTGGTCCAAATATTTAAGGGCTGTTGTTAAAAAAAAATACAGAGGATCAGGACAAATCATCTTCTGTGCTCAAAATACACAGGATCAGGACAAATCATCTTCTGTGCTGACGATGGAAATCTGGAAAAAAAGGACAAAGACACAGATCAGTGTCACTGAAAAACAGTGAGTCAGTATACACTTAGGTTAAGACAAAGTCTCCAGCTGAGGGCGCTCTCCACCACTGACCACAGCTTCAGTCAAAGCAGCTGAAGACAAGTGAAGACCAACTGCCCTTGGCTGGGAGTCAAACCCTGACCGCTAACTGTTCAGGACGGGCTGGTCTGTGGAGACAGGAACAGCTGCTGCCATGTGGCTCTGCCTGTGGTCCACAACCCAGATGTTTAAAAAAAAAAAAAAAAAAAAAGAAAAGAGCTCCCAGGTATTTAGGTTGTACTTCAGTACTCGGTGGTGCCTTCAGTGATCTTTAAGGAGACTAAAAAACTGAATACTTCTTCCTGTTGTCAGTATACTGATTTTACTGTTTGTGTACTCTGTTCTGCTGCAGTACAGTATTACTGTCCATTTATAACCGTTTCTAAGAAATAAAGATTGATTTAAAACAATTATTAGTTCTAAATAGTACAGTGTGAATAAAACTGACCAATAAGTAGAGAGGCCTGCCTAAAACTTTTGCACAGCACAGTGGATATGTTCTTTTTTTTTTTTTTTCCCAGCTAGGAGAGAAGCAGCCGAGGTTCGTTCTTTTATTTGTTTGTTTGTCCACCAGGTGGCGGCCGTGTGTTCTCAGGCTAATCTGTTTAATCTGTGCGGACTGATCATAAAAGCAGCAGAGATTAAGTGACAGCGAGGTCACCAGAGGTTTAATCGGCTCCACTTCAGCCACTCACAGCAGGGTAGGTGTGGCCCACGTTGGCTCCGTGTCTGGTGATGTCAATGTTGAGGTCCTCCTCGGTGGTCTTCAGGTAGACGGGATTGTCGAAGTTCATGCTCTTCTGGTTCTTCAGCTGCCAGTTCTTCCACATCAGGTACCCTCCCACCACGGCCATGGCCAACAGCACTGAGAGAAACAACAGCAGGATTCAAACAGTGAAGCAGAGCTTTGTTTGAGCCAACAGAGGGCGCTCCAAGCACAACTCAACTAAGGTTCTTTCTGAAAAAACAAAGTGATGTTCTGTTCCCTGATGGGCAAACAAAAGAAGTCTGTCTCAGATTTTCAACCCCATTGACCTTTGACATTCCACTTTAGACTTCACATTTCCCATACTTACAGACAGGCAGGATGGCCCAGGCAGCAGCAGAACCTTTGGCTGTGGAGTTCAACTGGATTGATGTGCTGACATTGGCTTCTGAGAAGGAAAAGACAAAAAATGAAAAGAAAAATTATAGTCAGTTCTTATTGTTTTAAGATTTATAAACTTTATAAACTAAAAAAATAAAACAGTTTGTCATCTGGAGAAAATAATTTAACAATGGTTTCAAATCTTTCTCAGTAGGGACAGATGATATACTGCCCCCTAGTGGATGCCTAGTCTAAGTGTTAAAGCAGTGCAAGCTGAAGATAAGATCATATCAAAATCCGATTCCAGATCCTGAAGATGTCAGTTTGAACCCACAGGAACTTCAGAAATAGTATTTAACAGGAAACACATTTACTTTCATTTGTAATTTCATCATTACTGAAGTTTTAAACATTTAACTTCTAGTTTAAAATATCTGTTTAAAAACAGCTTAGTTCAACATGGCTGATGTAGTACTACTCCTAGCTATGGGTTAGCTTTAGCCATCTACTACTACTAATAAAGACTGTATAGTTGAGGGCTGATCCCTGATCAGTTTGTGAAAGACAGCAGTGAGAGAAGGACAGGAGCAGAGATCACAGCAGAACAAAAACTGTTTAGTCACAGTAAAGTGGAAGATCAAGAGAAATCAACAGAGGGGCATTAGGTCACGACCTGTACAGCAAAGACCACCAGTCTCGTAGTATTAACATTACTGCCTATACACACTGTCACACAGAGGAACCAAACATTAAAGTGGTCCTAAAAGCACCAGAGCGAGAAAGCACTAAATGTTAGCCTCAAAGCTACAAACAGAGCAGCTGAAGCCACAGACAGAGGGTTAGCGTTGTAGCACAGAATTCACTGACACAGCAGAAGCACCAACATGTTCCAAACATGTCAGTGTCTCAGACACAGGCAGCAGCAGCACCGAGGGCATTACCTGAGGGAGGCTGCGTTAGAGCTTTCCCATCATCCTTTGAGGGAGCTGCAGTAGTGGGAGTGTCTGTTACAGAAAAAGCCCAGAGTCAAAGTAGAACAGACTGGGACCAGACTGGGACCATGACTGTTTAACGTTATCACACAGTGGCATTAACAGAAATACTTTACCTACACTTTACCATAGAATTTACCATCTGGCTGAATTTTGATTATATGAACAAGGTCTTATTGATCGTAATTGTCCATAAATAATATGTTTATTAATTTGTGAATCTTAGGACGACGTGGTTGCAGACAAAACTGTTCCATACACCTGTTCTACAAGATGTGTTTTGGTCAAAATATCTTGCATATTGACCAGATTATTCCAGACTTCTGTGTTCAGTGTTCATTGCGATTGGATCCCTGTTGACACCTATTAGCCTTCAAACACAGTTTCGATTGGCTCTCACTCTAATCTATTTCTCTAGATTACATGACAAAGTCAGAGCTGATTGGACCTCGTCCCTGACAGATTTTATTAGTTGACAGCATTAACACAGGATCGACTGTTTCCTAAACTGCTGATCAAACAGGATGCTAAAAATGCTGCTCTTCTACAGAGAGCCTTAAACTCCTCCTCTGTGGTCCATTCAGCCTCCACCCTGTGCACCATCATCACTGTTATGACTACCGTCTCATCCTGCTGATAACAAGCCTCTCACTGTCCTACAGCCTGTGTTGTTGCAGCTGCAGTAAAATATGTTCAGCTTCAGTTAAAAGAAACAAGAACCCCCCACTCTCCCACCTCCCCCCTTCTGGCTGCAGACCAAGTGGGAAGAAGGTGGAGGAGCGTTCAGCCCCAGGAGCTCCGCCCACTACATTCTCAGGGACACAGGGAGACGTGTCAACAACCACAGAGGCAAAGATGGGAACATAAAGAATTCTTTAGCTACATTCAGAGAAACCAGAGTCTTTGACACATCAGGTCTATTCAGTCAGACTGTCCCACAGTGGTCATTAGAGTCTGTCTGATCACACATCACCAGCCCATCTGCACCGTTGCCGTGGTAATGGAGAAGTAATAGTAAACCCAGTGTCTCCTTCATGTCTTTCTTTAAAGATCAGTTTCAGGTGCTGAAGCTCACTGCACAAATGTTAGCTTCATAAAAAGTTAACATTTTAGTTAACTAACATCTGATAAAAAAGAAAAAACAACCGAGTGTCAGGAGCACTGCAGAGGAGTCAACAGAAAGAATGAATTAAAACAGTACAGGGAAATGTTCCAGCCCTTGGTGTTCACCAGTGTCTCTGTCTCAAGTTTGAGTCCAATTAGAGGAGTTAGTTTGTGGCATGAATGCAGTTGACAGCTTCCTTATGTGGAAACACTGCCGATGAAAAGACTAATCTGTGGGAGCGAGGAGGAGCTGGACGTCCAAAGAAAGTAAATCGGGGGGGATGCAGAGAGGACAGCGTCTCCTGGCAACCTCCTCACAGAGGAGACCACGAGAGCTGGAACCTTTTCAGACCAATATTTGGTCAAAGTGTGGCTCCTAAGCAATACACGCACATACATACAAACATATACACACACACACTTTAACTCTGTGATGTCTGCTCTGATAGGAGCATGTTTTGTGTAAATTGTTTTAAAAAAAAAATCTCATTACTGCAGTATTATCTCAATGTGACAACAGAGCTAATGTTAGCTACAACAATTCTTTTTTTATATATCTATTTGACAAAACAAAAAAAAAATATAATAAAGTACAATTTACTAATTCAATCCCCCAATTCATTTGATCTTTTTTTTTTCCCCAAGACAGTTCACTGCTCACCAAACTCAACAGATCAGTTTCCTCATTAACACCAGTCAGGGAGTAAAGTTTCTGGAAGACTCACCAGGTCTGCAGCGTAGACCATCAGCGGCGACCTCCTGACCTTCTGGACATACACAGGTGTACTTGGGCGAGTGTTTGTTGATCTGTGGAGCAGGCAGACACATGTAGCTGCAGCCTCCGTTCTCACCTTTCTCTGTGCACCAGTTTGTTCCTGTCAACATGGGGGACGGAGACAACGTCTGTCAGTGAGTGTCTGACTGTATAAATATCATGAAAGACAGCAGTGAAAGACAGTGAGGGACAAGTCTGACACAGACACCTCAGTACACCACACCTGAGAGCTGGATCAGCTCGTGATAAACAATAATGTCCTGGGGATCGTTGAGTTTACTGGCCAGTGTTACCACGTCAGCTCCACTGAACTTGTTTGCTCCATAAATAGCCTTATTTTCCCCATCTGTCCAGAAGACACGATCCTGAGAGAGAGAAACAGTTGAGGACATTTTTAAACTAAAGTTATCTTTTTCTAGGTTATGTCAAATAAAACTAGAAAGGAAAAAAAGCTGATGGGCAAAAAACATGTCAAAAACACCAATGAAATAGTTTTAGACTGCAGACAGAATGAGAGACAAGTAATAATAATATATATAAATATAAATAAAATAAATCTGTTTACCTCAAAAACAGTCAGAGCGAAGGGGTGAGCCAGGAATTCTGAGGACTGCAGCACCTTCTTCCTGTTGTCTCCATTCAGGTCCACACTACAGAGCATGTGCAGCTTGGAGTCAACCCAGTACAACCTGCCTTTGATGAGATCTGAGGACAGAAGAGAGAAGAGGAAATCATCACCCTTTATACAACACTTACAGCGTGTGTGTGTGTGTGTGTGTGTGTGTGTGTGTTCTTACCCAGGGTGATTCCATTCGGCCACTGAATGTCTGTTGCCACCAGAACTTGTCGGTCCACTCCGTTCATACCAGCTTTTTCAATCTTGGCAGGTTCTCCCCAGTCAGACCAGTACAGGAAGCTACAGTAACACACACACACACACTGATGAATACACACAACCATTTGAAGAACAAACACACAGCCTTCAGCTGCTGTCACCTGTACTGACCCAGACAGTGGATCCACAGCGATGGAGGCCGGTTCTTTCAGACCCCTGTTAAACAGAACCTTCTGTTTGGTTCCATTGAAGTTGGTCACTGAGATGGTCTTGGTCCCCAGGTCGGTCCAGTACAGGTTCTTGTAGATCCAGTCCACGGCGATTCCCACTGGAGTCTGGACATTTTCTGTGACTTTGCTGTGGACACCGATATCTCCACGCTTGTCCAGAACCATGCTGTCAGAACAGAAGTGACATTATCAACCTCTGACAATTGGACACAAACACTAACATGTTGTCACCATGTTTTCAAACTAACAACCAGTGAACAGTGAAGTTGGTAAAAAGGCAACACCTTTAATCCTACCATTGTCAGATTTCTCTAACCCAGCTCCACTGAGATCACAGGTCTACAGATGACCCTGTGTTGGACTGAAGAACTATCTACCTGTGATTGGCTCCTGACCCCCTCCCCACTCCCTTCAAAAGGATGAATAAACATCCACTCCCTCAGGTCTCACACCCACCTGTTAATGGCCTTTTGGCCCAGATCGGCCCAGAAGACCATCTGCAGGTTAAAGTCTGCATCCAGAGCCACCGTGTTCCTCTGCTGTTCCACGATCTGAGTGTACTCCTTTCTCTCCAGACCCAGGCGACGGATGTCCCGGCGGTTGGTGAAGATCAGACAGGGTTCTTTACCTAAGAACACAAAGAGACGGTGTCCAAAATCCCAGCGCCTCAAAGGCTCAGTCTGGTTCCGGTGACGATGACTCACCAACAGCTTTGCAGACGCCGGAGGTTGGGTCCATCTGATAACCGTTGTGACACTCGCACTTATATCCACCCTTCAGGTTGATGCAGATCTGACTGCAGATTCCAGGGTTCAGACACTCGTTTATGTCTGTACTCACACACACACACACACACACACACAGTTAGTTAGTTAGGTCCAAGTCAGAAGTTATTAACAGTAATAACAACTACAAAGAGCTGTGGTTGTGTCAAAAATGTTCAAACTAACAGAAACTGCAAATGTTACAGAATATAAATCACAAAAAGAATATTAAAGATCAAGGAAATACTAAACATGATTGTAACTGTTCCACTGACAGCTGCGTTTATATGGTAAATGTTAATATTGTATAAACTGATTATATTTTCAATGACAAAAAGAAGGGAGATATGCACTGAGATTATGGGCTGTATGTACTCATTCCATCCTATTTCTGGTATATACATTTAAAATATGTTTACATATTTCCTACAGTAAGTACAATATACTACAGGATATACTTCAAACTTTTCTTGAACTGCTCTTGCAGCAGAAGCTGTAATACCGACAGTTTCCTCTGGGGATCGGTCAGTATTTCTGCTCCTCATTCTAAGGTCAAACCACAGTTGAGGCCAGCTGAGGCTGCGGTGCGACCATTACCCACCTCCGCAGGTCTTGTGGTCAATGAGCTGAAGTCCAGGGGTGCAGTCGCACTCAAAGCCGATCTTTGTGTCTCTGCAGATGTGTGAGCAGCCGCCGTTGTTCAGCAGACACTCATTCATGCCTGAAAACACAGGGAGGTTAACCACCTAACAACAACAACAACAACAACAACAAAAAAGAAAAATCTTTAAAAGTCCAGCAGAAAGTGAAGAACTTCACTAGAACTCACTGCACTCCTTGATGGGCTCGTCGCTCCAGTCAGGACAGTCTCTGGCTTTGTTGCAGACTTTACTCATCTCAATACACTCACCACTGCGACACTTAAACTTATCTGGTCCATTACACTGACTCACTGTGGGTGGACACACACACACACACAGAGTTAGACAGAAACACAAACATCTGCAGCACAGGCCACCACCCCAACCGATACCTACAGATATACACATTTTTATGCTAAGCTAATGTTTTGGTATGAAATAAAAGTCAGTCTACACTCTACAGATCATTCCATCGTCAACACCCATGCAGCTCTTCAGATAGACTAGTAGTTTGAAAAACGGAGGCTGAGAGCCATCACCAACGTCAATAGTTGTGCTTTAGTGGACATGCTGGACGATGGGTCTCAACAGAAGCCTGAACATAATTCTTAGCCTGTTATCTGAAAACTAATCTTCCCCTGAGATAATGCCCCCCCTACCCCCCCACAGTGCACATACTGTTTTTACAGTTGACTTCATCTGATCCGTCCACACAGTCTCTGATGCCGTTGCACTGTCTGCTGCCCAGGATACAGTTTCCATCATCACACTTGAATTGTTCCGGTCCACAGGTACGTGTGGCTACACACACACACACACACACACACACACACACACACACACAGAGTATAATTAAAAAAGACACAGTCAAAGCAGTGAGGTCACAGTGACAGTGACCTTGATAGTGTTGTTGCTCTGTGTTGTACATACGACAGTTGGCCTCGTCGCTGCCGTCCTTACAGTCGGGGTCTCCGTCACACCTCCACTTCTTGTGGATGCACTCCCCCGTGCGACACTGCATCTCACTGCTTGAACATTTAGCGGGTGGCGTGGGGTGACGGCCGCAACGGGTCGGAGATTCGTCGGACTGGTCCTGCGGAGACAGTGTGGCAAGAACCAGGCTTTTGACCAAAGTGGAAACTTGTTCAAATGATTGAAGCTCATCAACAGGTTCTGATCTAGAACCATCTGAGTTCTTATTGTCCGGTGAGAACATTTACAGACAGTGGATTACAGTCCTTAGATCAGACAAAGAAGCAGGTTATGACCTGGTGTCAAAGGTCATCCTCCAGAATTCTACAGAGAAGGAATTCTCTGATGGAAACAGCACTGAAGAAGAGACCTGACTGAAACATTGATGAGATGGAGAGTTGGGATTTTCAGGAATATTTTTTCATTTGTATTTGAACTTTTGGACTAACCCTGATTAATTAAATATTCATGAGAAAGAGTGAAATTCATCCAATGTAATCTTTAAAAAATACAGCAATTGATGTAAAAGCAGGCATGGACTGAAAGTGGGAGGAACAGTCAGGGTTTTAGACCTGACTGATCTGGATTTTGTTCCGTCTTTCTTCCTGTATTCTGAATTAAAATGAGTTTCTCACACTTTCATCACCTCTCACCATCAGTGACTCACAGGGGCAGACTGATGAAGTGCGTGTGTGTGTTCACCCACAGGTCCATTAATGGGAACAGTGATGTAGGAGGGAGAGAGAGAGCGAGAGAGAGAGCGAGAGAGACCAAACACTAACCTATGCTGCTGTTTGATTTGTGGGTGTTAATGTTTAATAACTTATCAAACAAAGTCAAAACCAACAGCAGCAACATCATCAACAGACAAATGAAAACTCTCTCAGTCAGATATAAAAAACCATCACTGTCAAAATCAAAATCTCTATTTTGGTCATTTCTTGTACCATGTACCAGTTTGAAAGACAAAGATTATTTTGAAAAAGAAAAGCTGGATTATCTTTAAATGAAGTAAATTATTGTTTCTTTTGCTGTACCCTGGTATTAAATAACCCACAGACCGGTACCAGTCCATGGACCAGAGGTTGGGTACCCCTGAACTACAGTACTTACAGCAGCAAGATTATTTTGTTAGGTCTGTTGTTCACTGGCTTTAAATACACAAAGATAAATCCCAGGAGCCCTTCAAGTACAGTAGTACAGTACAGACGTACAACCTATATGAAACACTGATGATACCACATTTTTTGTTTGTACAGCAGTACTATAAAAGGTGCACAAAATGACTTGTAATCCTATTTGATCGTTGTGCCTAACTTTAGTTATTTACAAAAAACAACAACTGTTGTTGCCCAGCACAAACTCAGACACTGCCTGTGTGTTTCTCACCTGACAGTCCACGTCATCGTCACACACCCAGTTGGCTGGGATACAGGAGGAGTTTCCACACTGGAACTCGCTGCGGGCACAGGAGGACAGAGAACACTCCACCTCATCAGAGCTGTCGCCACAGTCGTCCTCGCCGTTACACACAAAGTTCCTGGAGATGCAGCGACCGCTGGCACAGGTGAATTCATTGGGCGCACAGGTGATGTTTCCTGCAGCAGCAATCAGATGGTTAACACTGAGGTGTGCATGTGTGGTTCTTCACATACTGTACTTTTGTCAGTCTGATTACAATTCATCAGCCCAGGTCTATTGTCACCTCCCTGATCTGCTCAGTAACAGAAGAGTTATGAGCCGACGAGTCTCAACATGAGCGACAGGTGGAAGACTTCCATTAATAAGGCCACTGTGTAACCTGTTTGTGCTGTGTTTATTTACTGTATACATCTGTGACTGTGCACAGCAACCATGTTCACAGCACCATAAACATGACAGCTGAAGGGCAGTGGAGACACAGGTCTGTTCTCTTTGACTTTGCAGCTGAATTCATTGATGAATAGGGATGCAACAACACACTGTGAAACAGTTAAGTCAAACAAATGTCTAACAATTTGCATTTGTTGAAATAAAAAGATGTAAGGAGTGGCCTGTGTTATATCTAAAAAAAAGTCATTGGTCATGCCATTAGACTATACACTACAGTAGGTGGCGGTACGCACCTAAAATGTTGTGACCTGCTATTAAACCAGGACATCAGGTTATTTAAGATATCCACTTCAGTTGGTAATGGTCATTTCCATTGTTCTTACAAATAAGAGATAATTTTGTTTCCAAAAAATCTTGATAAAATTGTATCATGAACAAGTGTGTATTGTTACATCCTTACTGTTTCACCAGTGTCAGTGTTGAACATGTGATCTGCTGATGTAGTTTACGGTAACTGACATTTACATATGCTTTATTAGAATTGGAAAGAGGGAAATTTGAATTGTGAACAACTTTCCATTCATGTTATACTGAGACTGAATTCAACCACCCAGTAAATAGACCAGGGGTCACCAACCTTTTTAAACTGAGAGCTACTTCAAGGACACTCAGTAATACAGAGAGCTACTTGTTTGATACAGACCATCGTCACTGCAGGTTGCAGGTGGAACTGATTCAAAAAGAACAGTAGCAGTAAATTTTTTGACACCCTTTTTTAGGTAGATTTATTTTAAGAACATAGCCTGCGGGCACCTTAGGTAGTCCATGGGGGCTACCAGGTGGCCCCGGGCACCACGTTGGTGACCCCTGACCTAGACTATATCGAAGTTATGCTCTAATGGCCACATTAAATTATGTGGTGGGCTGAATTCCGCCCATTGGCCCCAAGGTTGATGTACAGTATGTGCCCTGTGTTGCACTTGCTCTACCTACACACAAACTTGTGCTTAGTGACTTTTGTTTGTTCACGCTTCTAATTAACCCAACGTAGAGCAGAGAGAGGGTGTCAGTGTACAGGAGGCTCTGGGTTTCATTACTGCCTCTTCACTTGTATTTTCTGGGTCTGGGATTTAAATCTGCAGCACTAGTTAAAAGCCCACCTTTCCCCTGGGATTTTCTTGAGCACAGATTTTCTATCATCTAATCTTCAGCTCATGCTGTGACACTCCAGAGTCTAGATTAGACTTTATTAATCCCACACTGGGGGAACTGAGTGAATGTTTAAGGATGAATGAGTGAAGAAGTCCTAAAGTGTGTCAGAGCAGAAGGAAGAGGGCCGTCCCAATTCACAACTTCAGACAAATCTGCTCTACTTCTACTGTGCTGCACAGACTCGACCTCCACAGAACAAGGTTTCCAAAAGCACCTGCTTTACTGTTAATTTCCTGTCATCACAGTCACTACTGTACATCAGCTGCAGGTGTGGGGATAAATGGACACATGTTTTAAAGGTTCTCTGATGGAAGAGGTGAATGTTTTAAAAATGTGAGTGTCTGGTTTTTTGTGTGTGAACTTACCACAGTTGAACTCATCTTCTCCACTGTCACAGTCCTTCTCTCCGTCACATTTCCAGAAGACGGGGATACACTGGGTGGAGCCAGCTCCACAACTAAACTCATTCAAACGACATGTCCTCATGTCTGTGTGTGAGGTGGGGGTGGAGGTGGAGAAGAGAGGGGGAGGGTGGGGGAGTTAAAAAAAACAAACATTGATTAGCAGTTGATATTCAGAAAACAGCATAATATACATCAAAACTAGTGCAAAAGAATGGTTGAGATTTTAGATTGAAAAGAACTGAAGGTTATTCTCACAAATCTGAGCAGAAAACAGACCTCTTCAAAATGATCCTGATCTACACTATAAATATCTAGGTGTTAAGTTGTGAACTTGTGTGTGGAACAATATGTTCTCACACACACACACAAAAACACACAGCCAAGTCAAGAGCAACAGCTGGTCAAACACTGACGGACACCGAGGACCAGCACGTACACCACATTCTCACACACACACACACACACACACACACACGTTTCTACGAACCCTTACCATAGCCCTTACTTTAACCAATAACAAATGTGAGTCTAATCTTAATTCTTAATGTAACTGACAACTAATTTCACATTCGACTGTATGTCAGATTAACTCCAAACTAAATATCCAAACTCAAAATGTTCTCTCTCAGTAAAGACCTGTTAGATGGAAAAAGGGTCTCAATAACAGAACAATAATAAAAAATGTCCCCTACAAGTATAGCTGTGTAGGAAACACACACACAATTCTTTCCACAGCTACAGTTACACTGACCGAAACACATGCACAGGCCACACCTTCACGTCCACAGCCTGACTGTCAGTGTTGAAGACCAGGTCATTACAGTGACTCCTGACTTTCAGAAAACTAAGATTAAAGTAAAGAGCCTCAAACTGAATGACTATTATTACCATCAACAATCCAAACAAAGTTGTTTGTTTTTGTTCCCAGAATTTGCAGTGGACGAGCCCAGATGTAAATGTTCCTAATGTGAGCTACAAACACCAGCTATCTAAATGTTACCATTCACAGCAGTGAGCAGAATTTTTAAAGAACTCCACCCTGACCACACACCTGAGGTCCTCTGAGGACATGCATGCATTCCAGTCAGCTGGAATTGGAAAAAAAAATTTTTTGAGGAGACTTTTCTAATCCTCTTAAACTTTTCTTAAGACCAAAACAAAAAGGTTCTAAGACCTTTTTTATTGCTGTAGTTTTTAAATCAAGCTCAGGAATGTGAACTTAAAAAGCTCACAGTTGGCCTGGGACCATAGTCAATAAATCCATTGACGCACAATAAATGAAAAAGAAATCAATTTTGCCAGCCTTGATCAAGTGCGTTGTATAAATGTGTTTGTTTTCCTCCACCTAAAACGTAACCACCCGACACGGCTCTACCAGTTGGGGAAAAATAAAACTGCACTGCAAAACTGCATAATGTTGAAAATATAATCATTAACTTGCAATAATTTGTGGGACAATATATCATCCAGCAAAATGTGTTACCGTCACAGGACTAGGTCAGTTTGTCCTTGGTGTTCATGTCTTCAGCAGCAACATGTGGACATCACTGTAGGTTTTAGAGCTTTTTAATTCTAATCCTCCTGTGATTACAGCTCCTGACCTCCAGGGGGATAATAAACACTGCTGCAGTTGCTGCGAACATGCTGATTGATTTATTTTGATCAACTCTGTTGACCTGTGTCCATTTCTCTGCTGGTGCAGCTCTGGTCTGAGACCACAGGAATAATAATCAATTATGAAACACTGATTCACTCTACTGTGAAGAGACAGACAAGAAGGGAAATTTAAACTCTTTGAATCTCAAACAATCATGATTTACAGGTTTTTAAAATCATGACTGACAAATTCAAATAAAGATGCAAATGTTTATTATGAGATCATTATTTATACAGAGCTATCTACCTCTCCTATACTACCTAAGACATATCTTTGAACTTTGACTCAAACAGCTCATCGTGACTTTTCTCACGATCTTACGAGTTTCCACTTTCTGTCTGACATATTTTTCAAGTTTAGCAGCTTCCAGGGACGGCGCTAAAATCTGCATTTAAATTTGTATTCTCTTAATTTAAGAATAAAAAGCCCCTTATGGACCCAGGAGGGGTGGAGAACATTTGACATTGTTGAAGTTCTGGTACAATTTCTTTAAATACTGAAAAAATCAGGATGGAGGTAAAAAAAAGTCACAGTAAATGTCTACAGTGGGCATGAGTGTGTGTACTCACGGCAGATTTCCTGACTCTCATCAGAGCTGTCTTCACAGTCAGGTTCACCGTCACAGTGCCACCTCTTGGGGACACACTGACCGTTCTGACACACAAAGTCCATCTCTGCACACGTCTTCTTCACTGGAGAAGGAAACAAAATCACAATGAAGAGGATAAAAAAAAACATGAATTAAAGTTGGGAAAAAAAGTTTTCATTTCAAAGCTAAAACTTCAGAGGTTTGATGATATTTTACAGCACTTGTAAAATGTGACACTAGTGTTGATTAAGCTCATAAACAGCAGCTCTGTCCCTCCACACACCACTGTCACCCTTTATTGAAGTTATTAATCTACAATTTGTTCCTGACTAATTGTTTATCATGATCTCCTGTCGATTCCATCTCGTTTATTTCACCATGCTTTGACCTTTCTGTGCTTTGAAGCACCTTGGCTCCAAATATTGTTTAAGTGTGTTGTTAAATAAAAAATCTGACTTGACAAAAACAAACAAAAAAAAAAAGAAACTGCAGAGTTAGAAGAATCAATTTCTGAACATCAGCAGCAGAGACAGACTCAGAGCTGTTGTTCTTAATTTTTCAGATACACACACATTTGCTCCTCACAGAATTAGTTCAAGATTATTTACACTCATCTTAAAAAAATAATATCCTATCTAATTGTCCTCCATCCTCTAATTTTACACTTAGAACATCATCCTCCTCCTCAATTCCTCCGCTTCACGTTGTTCTTATATTTCTGTCCTCACTTTGTTCTCCTTTACCTCCCTGTGTCATCTGACCCAGATACCAACAACAAAAAAAAAAAAGAACGGGAGGAGGTGAGAAACACACACATACACACACACCCAGAGTAGCCAAAGCCATATTTAGCTCTCCATCACTGGGTCATTCTGTACTGAGGGATTCTGGGAGAGTTTACGACCAGGCCAATGAGCCAACATTTGACATCTGTCATATGATATCTATGTGGGATGGTGAGGATTGATGGGAATTTCACCTGGACTTCACTGTGAGACGTTATTTATTCAGGAATCAAGCGCTCGTCTGCAAAAGATCATGACCCACTGATGGGGCATGAAGAAATAAAAATGATCAAGAATCTATGTCGTCTGCAGGGTGCTTAAAAAAAGGACATCTCTTTTACCAATCACTCTTCCACAGACCAAAGTCCATAGAGAAAATCAGTGATTTTAGCTCACAGACGTAAATCAATCATTTATGGAATGTGATGTGGCTTCAAATGTTTTGTCTCCAGTCTAATCATTTTTTGTGTGAAAACTTTGTTCTCGAGCCGTGTTATCACCATTAGTATTACACTACTGCAAGGCATACATTTTTTCCATGCACCTGTGGATTAGCAGAGGTTTCAGGATAACTCAAGAGTTCCTATTTAGACACAAAAAGGACTAGACTGGTAGAGGCTGGACTGTGAAGTTTTATTTCTACTGCAGCCCACTGTGGTCCACAGAGTGTGTTGGTTTAATTCCTCACCACAGGAGTCCTCATCGCTGCCGTCAGTGCAGTCCTCATCTCCGTCACATTTCCAGACAGATGGGATGCAGCGACCGTTTCCACACTGAAACTGACTGGCCTCACATTCTGTTTTAGTACCTGAGGAGGAAGAAAAGCACAGGAATTAAAGTCATTATAGCCCTTTAATGTTCTCATAATACCCTCTTCAAGGTCGTCTACTTTGTAATTGACTTTTGATGGGTTTTGTTTTCCCTGACAGAGCAGCAGCCTGTTGTGTTAAGAGATTGGAACGACTGTAGCTCCTAAAATAAACACCGTCTGACCTTGTTGTTGGCTCTAATCAGGTGGTGTGTGTTCGTCCAGGTGAGTTAATGGAGCAGAGAGACATTAAAAAACTCAGAAGTATTTGTTGTTGTAACCTGTGAAACCTGGTGAGCTGGGGCTTGAGAACAGAGAGCAGAACGTTGTCTTCAACAACAGTTCAATGACAAAATATAATGTGCGAGAAAAAAAAAAAGTGGCATTAACGCAAAGATTATTTAAGATCATACATTTGACCAGAAAGTTTCAAATCTTTAGTTTTACAGTTAACCTGATAAAACACCATTTACCAGGAAGCAGCTTTTTGGTCAAACAGCTTTCCATTGTCCTCATGGTAACAATAAGTCTCATAAACAGATCAGTAGTGTTTAAAAGGTAACAAAAGGATAAACACTTGGTGACACAAAATAATTCATCTGGCCGGAATACTGATGAGTCGTTCTTCCTCGTGATCACAGATGAATTTACCAACCACAGCATTTTCATAACATTATTGTGCAACAGTCTATTGGTTACTGGATTTGCTTGTGATCAGATAGTGCTGTGGTGCTTGGACAGATGAAAGAATACACAGAACTACAGATGAAAAATAAACATTTATGTTCTGTAACTTCACCTGGGTGTCAATTCATCCACTTAATGATCAACCAGATTTTGTTTTACACTTTTGCTCACACACTTTCTGTCTGCAGAAGTGCTCACTCAGCACTGTGATCCAATCAGTTCTGTGACAGACTCTCAGTGGAAACATGAACAACGTCAAACTGTCTAAGACACACTCTGCTGACACACACACACACCGAGTGTTTCAGCTGACGTAAAGTCTGGACTCTGTGGCAGCAGCAGCAGAAATGTGTCAAATTTAAAGAAGACCTTTCAGTACTTTAAAGGAAATATAAATAAAAAAAAGAGCAAATGTCATTTCTACTCAATGTAATCTGACTGACTGTGGCAGAGGTGGAAAACGACACGATGAGATACAAGCACTGATACATAATGAGAGGCTGATGTTTTCCTACACCAGCTGTTATTTTTTCTCGATTTTTTTGTCCCCTGTGCTGCTCTGGTGCCCCCCAGAGGAGGAGCGTCGCACTCCTGAAAACGTTTTTTTTTTTTTTTCAAACTAATAGCTCATAAATCTACAAAGGACATTTTGTTCTAAACATCTGGTTTCTGTGTCTTTACCTTCAAACAGTAATGAGGCCACTGCGTGTTTCACCTATGTCTTCCACGTGAGAAGACCTGAGGCCATCATAGCAACAGATGGGCAGCGAGCAGTGGCTGCCAGACAACAATGTGCAGTCCAAGTGTTTAAACGTATGGAGAAGAAGAAGCTTCAGAAGAAAGTGCAGAGTCTAGAATAAACCTGGATGTTTTTCAGTGGTCAGTAGTCAACTTTGGTACTCCAAAATTAATGTCCCAGGTCAAACAGCTGGACTTGAGGGACAGATCTTGGCAGAATATAAAGCTACCATCTACTTATCTGATGAAACTGGACCTAAATGAGGAGACATTTTTACCACTGTCCCCTTTAAATGGAGCTGTATAGACAAATTTGTTATTTTTATAGAGATTCTTTTTTTTAGTAAATTATTCTATGAATGTATGTACAGTACTTTTATAGAGAGCATACACTTGCTCCAGTGACCATGGAGCTCACAATCAGATCAGCAGTTTACATGAGCACAGACTCCAGAGATGAGTAGATACCAGCCCTCTGGTATCCTGGACTGACAACACTTCTCCAATGGGCCGTATCAGAACAGAGTTTCTAGACTGGTATGATACAGTTATCTGACTAAACCAAGTTGATCTAATCCGACATGCAAATCCAGGATTTACAACAACAGACTCACTAACCAGACTCGCAGTACTTCCTGTTCTGTCCTATAGAGTGATCTGACTAGATGTCACACTCTTCCTCCTCCTTGTTATTCACACTTTCCTTTGTACTGCAGAATAGTCATGAGGAACAGCCTAGCCAACTCATAGACGGTGGTCAATATATGTACATCACCAAACAAACTTAAGTATGAAATACTGGAGGTTTATGTGACGTATTATACGCTGACAAGGCATAAGAAAATAGGAACACACAAATATTGCAATATTTTGTTTCACAAACCACACGGATATTCTACAGCACTGCATAGACCTGGGCCGATTATCACTCCATTGATCGCACAATAAATTAAAATGATTAATAATTTGACCTCAATTAATTGCCATGTGAAAGTGTGCTTGTTTTCCTCATTACTCGTCTCCAAACAGGCTGGATGACAAGACTGTTCACTCTTCATCGATCTCAGCATCTGGACCTGTTCTATAGCGGAATGAGCGGAGTGAACTTTGTCAGTCATCCACTTTGTAGGGGGACGTGGGGACGCTTAAATAACACACAGACGAGCCAGTAGGCTGAATTTGTGTGAAAGTGGTAGAGACAATAAAAGGCAACACAACAAACTTGTATGCCCACCTAGAACATAACTACCTGACCCAGTTTTACCAGCTGGGGAAAAAACTGCAGCTCGAGATACAGAGCCTTCGTCCCAATAGTCAACACTCACTTTAGTTGACAAAGTAAGCACAAATAACAGCACAAAATGGTGTGCTCCTACAGCTCATTGGCATGTCTGTAACAAGGGATGTTCAGGTACCACAGGAAATAAGTGCATACAGGTGTTATTACTACTATTATCAGTGGCTAATTTGGTCTCAAAATAATGTTGACAATATCGTTAGGAATTTGTGGGACAATATATCACCCAGCAAGGTTTGTTATCAGGCTTGGCACAGTATCCTTTTTTTTAATTAAAAATTAGCATGCAAATATTCAGTGTCATCTTATTTTGCTTTTTTCTTCTCTAGCAATTACAACTTCAGTTTCCTCTGTTCCAATTTTACTAACATGATATTACGAATGTAGCAGCATCGTATGTTTGCCATGCTGACAGTTTTCCTACAATTAAATTGTTTAAAATATATACCCATCGTTGTGCCTATAATATCACAGTATACAAGTATGCCAGATTCTTGCCCATTCACACTCATAATGCTGACAATATCATCTATTTGCATCTTTGTTCTTTGACCATACGATATTTAAGAGTTTTCAAAAGAATGACAAGTAACATTAGGTTTGTACAAGGACATACTGCAGTAGCAGCATTATGAGGACCAAGATGGTGGAGCGACATGGTTAACAAAACAAAAAAAAGACAAAGTATATATTTTTAACTCGGAGCCAGAGATGTGGATGATTTGGGAGATCCACTCAGATTTTCTTTTTTTACATCTTGAACATGTCCAACTGAGACCAAACGCGATCATTTCAGAATAAAAAGAAAAATAATGCTCAGTGGGAAAATAGCACAGTCTTGACACCATTCAGTTCGTCAGCCCATACCGTAACAGAAGAATGAAACCCACGTCTTTACAACCACAGATTCAATAAGCTGAGAGCTGGAATGAAGCCTTTATCTCCATGACCAGTCAAACAGCAAGTGTATGCTGAACAAACGCTGTCACACTGGAGGTCATGGTAATGCAATTTTCCCCAGTAACAGAAATGGGTGCACTCCTCCTCCTCCTCCTCCTTCTGCTGCTTCTCCACCTCCTTCTCCCCACAGCCCAAGATCTGGGTCTTGCGTGGTATCACAGTAACCAGGGAGAAGAAGTACATCCATTTTAATCAGCCTGTTAATGCTGCGTCTCTGGCGTCGGTCTAACAGGCATGACATGCTAATGAAATAAACTCAAACATGTGGTAAGGTTTAGAGCTCAGAATAAGAGAGTGGTGGGGTTGGTGTTAGCAGCAGCAGTAGCAGCAGCAGTAGCAGTAGCAGCAGCAGCAGTAGCAGGTGGGCGGCGTGTATTCTACAGCATGGCGCATGCGTGAACGCAGCTAACAGAGGTTTGGACTCGGTCTCTGCACCTCTTCAGAAATTCTAAAAAATTAAGTTTGTTCAAGACAAAAAGCAGCTAAGATAAAAAATAAAAAAACAAACAAACAAAAAAAAAAAACCCAAAGAAACTCACTATTCTTTTCTGATGGTTTTATATTTGACTACAAAGACAACATTTTACTGAGAGACAAAATAACAGTCACTTTGGTTCTATAATGAAAGAAACCAAATGTCAAAAACTCAGGAAAAGGAAAGATGTCCTCTGATAAAGCATCAGATTTGAAATGTGTTAGCCAGCTCTGGGCTAACCTTTAGTCTTTCTTTAGCACTTCAGCTTATTATTGATGTCTAAAGCTAAACCATTAAGAATGCCTTAGACACCTTTTGGTAAACCAACAACCTTCCTTATTATTTACTTTTCATTTAAGGGTCACTCAAGCCAAAAACAACAGAAATAATTTATCCAAACAAACACCAAACATCACACAGTTGTTGTGTCCTTATCAGGTTTTGGTTACTTTCTACTTGAACTCCTGCCACCACTGCTGTCACCCTGATAATGACTAGTGTGGCCTCTGAGCTCATCAGAGCTTCAGTGGAGTCACCTGTGCTCTGTAATTAGCTCTGTGTGGTACCGTTTTATGCTAACTCAGCTGCTGCTGCTCTGAAGGACCCGACTGTACTCCTGTAGGTTTCATCATTGAAGATCAGTACTTTGCCCCCTCCACCACCAGTGAAACCCCTCTCACAACCATCGACTTCCAATTGAATAAGAAATCAATAATTGACTGTCCTGGAGGTGGAGCTGTGGCAAAAATGAATGTGAACCCTGAGATGGAGGTTAAAACTTACATGCTAAATGCTGCTGCCGTACTGCTGACACAAAGCAGGTTTAAAATAAATTATTCATTTTTTTTTATTACAAAGCTATGAGTTTGCTACCTTGTTTTTATTAACTTTATGCATATCACATGAAAACAGGTTTGCTCATTAATTTTAACTACTTTAAGCGTTTAAAAAAAAACCAATCTGGGTTAGCTTTAAGCTAATTTGAGCTTCTTTGCCATGGTTTTGACAAATGTTTAGTTCCTTTAGATAACAGCAACTTAAGTCTGATTTTAACAGCATTTGCCAATTAATATATTTTGATTATACATTTTTGCATCTATAAATGATATGTGTCCTTTTAGGGGCTTTGTTTAAGTTATATTATTTTGGCTTAATCTTAAGTTTGGGTAAGGCTAATTGTAATTTGCTCTTTTTAAAGCTAAACATAAACACTTTATCGACTAATATTAAACAGTACCTGTAAAATGTGGCTTTAGTTGGCACATTAAAAGAAAACAATTCAATTTAAATCAAAATAGTCGAACCAAAGGGGCCTCTACGCCGAAACCACCTGCTCCCCTTCCTTCTGCACCCAGCATTTCTCTCGTATTTCCTTTTCGTCGCCGTTTCCATTCCGTATACAATATACACACAGAAAAAAAAAATACTTGGGAAAAACTCGATCAAATATGCTCACGGTCACAGTGTGTCCTGACAGGGACGGTGTTTCAGCGGAACAACCAGCGCCATTGTTGAGGTTTTCCTCCATCAGCGGTGTTTCCCTCATCACACATACATACACAGGTGTTAGACGCGCGCACACACACACACTGTTAGACGGACTCACCGTGGACTGTGTGAAGACTGCAGACCAACAGCGGCAGGAGAACCAGCAGCAGCTGGAGGCTGGAGAAGAGCAGCGGCAGTGTGCTTATTGTTAGCCGGCTCCTGGCTGCTCTGGACCGGATCATGACTCTCTTTCTCTCCCGCTCTCTCACTGGTTTGATCCCCGCTGCTGCCTCCTGCTAACACGCGCCTCTGTGGCCTGGTCCTCTTTAAATCACACACACACACGCATTTATAGTCTAGCCAATACACACACACTCACCCAGGAGCAGCAGCACGCGCCACACGCAGAACCAAATAACCAAACCTCACGCGGATGGTGACGTAGATGATGATTAAGATGAAAACGTGCGTGAACGTGCGCTTTTTGTTTTCACGCGCGGTGCGGGACGTGCGGGATCCCGCAGCTTCCTGTCGGTCTTAAATCCATTTCCTCAAAGTGACGGTGACGAGAGGCTGCAGTCAGAGTGTGTGTGCGTGTGAGGTGCGTGTATGTGACGCTCCTTTAACAACAGCTGAGCTGAGATTTTTTTCCCTCTCTTCTTACTCCTCCTTCCCTCCACTGTTAACTCTTCACTGTCCACTGCATGAATTGATAATATATCTCTGAAGAGATGCTAAAGCGGGGGTCGTGGTCTCCCGGTAGTCCGTCATCTATTGATCAGAAGTGGTCTATCAGGGAAACCTGACCGCAGTAGACCTGATGACAGGGTTTACAGCCAAAAAGGCAATTGAGTCTGTAATAATCGGACAAAATATAATGTGGCCCTTTCTATCTGTGATTTTAAACATTGATGTTGAATGACAGAGGTACGTTCATTTTTAGTGCTAGTTCGGGTTTTGTTAAAAAATATAAAAAACACCATGGAAACTAGAACCTGAATATGATACATTTATGTAAAAAAAAATTTGCATATATATTTAAAAATGTGTTTTTACAATACATACAATATGCACACATATACAGAAAGATTTACAGCGTCAGTAAAGTCAGGAAACATGAGCTTTTTCTTTTCTTCACTTTGTTCATTTCAAAACATTATATTTTACACTACAGCAATTTACGCATTTAATTTATTAATTTAATCAGTAGTGTAAAACTAGATGTATGACGAACTGAACTGGACACAAAACGTTTTAAAATCAGCATAAAAGTGGGTAAAAAAAATCCCAAAATGATCAGCATTTTGTGCAACAGCGCCCCACTGTGGACAGAAAAGTGAATCACGTCCGTCTGAATAAGCTTTACTGCAATTTTACCACATTTTACTTGTATAATGTTTACTGTTGTTTCCTTTTCTGAAAGCTCGTCCGGAAGTTTCCTGTTTTATCCTGGTATTTTCCAGGTATGTGTTTTTTTTTTTTTTTTGGAATCTGATTCGGAATCTGATTTGATTAAATGATCCCAGGGGAACGTTGTTGAATTCCTGGTACGTCCTCGTATTTTCTCCCTTTGTTTGTTGCTAGTTTGTGTTGTCGCTGGACTCCTCCTGGTGTGTTTCTGCTTCTTTCCGGAATCCTTTGTCTACATTGTGTAGCTGAAGGGTGTCAGCAGACAGAGTGACCCGTGGTGAGGCAGAGGTTGACTGTGGTAGTGTTCGATCAGAGCTGACAGAGAGGGGAATGTCACCTCACTGTCCAGATATATGTGATCCCCCTGTCAGTCAAACACATAAACACCTGTCAGCACTGTCATCGGCCTCCATTTTTACACCTCAATAATGTAAATAACAATGTAATGGTTATATACATACATATATATATATATATCTTGACCAGGAGTCAGAACATTTCTTACATCTTCAAACAGTCTGTAGTTCCTGGCCTTGTTTATACTTGAGTCCCAAACCACCAGAACCTGTGGAACACATGTAAGATATATAGCATTACAATAAATAAATATGGTTATATAAACACACACACACAACACAATTTTAATATGGGGGAAATATGACGAAGCACCTGGGAAATATGATCAACACAGTTTCAACGTTTTAAACAGGTTTAGGAAACAAGAAAAAATGGATAGAAAAAACAGGAAAGAAATATATTTGTGGATGAAAAACAATGTAAAAAAACCCATCTGAAATAAAAAAGGTCAAATGTAAAAATATAAGAAATATGAAGATAGTATCATAATATGAAATATATAATATATATTTAATATTAAATGTAATCACTGTATAATGTATAACAAAGAATACAAATCCATTTTTCATCATAAAGTTTTAGATCTTAGGTCTGAACTAAAGTGCTTGAAATTTTCTATCACTCTAGTATAGATGGTTTAAAACAAATTGTATGTGTAATAATAAAACAGTTTTAAATAATTCAATGAACTAATGAAGTACCCTGGAGGTTTTGGTCCCAGAATTCCTGATGCTGTAGAGTCCATCCTCTGGAGGAACTCTCCTCTCTCTGAACAACCTGCAGGAACAAACGACATCAGGAGTCAAGTCACGTGGGTCTCCTTCACTCCACTCATTTATGCTCTTCTTTATAAAAGAGCGTTCTAGGGCCCTCTAGTGGATTATGTCGGTCCTGCAGATTGACCTCAGTTTATAAAAACATTTTTGTTCTCAGGAACAAGAAAATAAAATTGAACTGAAAAACTGATAACTTTTAATTTAATTGACATTTTAAAAATGACACATGCTCTATAATTATTGATGCTTTAAAGACCCATTTAAATAAACAATAGAAATAAATGATATAAATGACAGAAATAAAGAGTTTAAGGGTTTAACAACAAAAATTCCCAGAAGATGAAAAACAATGTGTTTAGTGCTTGGTCACAGAGGTTAACAAAATAAATGTGTGTGTGTGTCTTACTTTTCTACAAAGCTGGTTTCATTTGTGTCAATGAAGACAGAGTCTGGCAGCAGCATCTGTTTCCAAAAAAATAAACACAACAAAATCATATGAAAGAAATTTAGATAAAAAAAAGGTTTTGTTGTTCAAATGTTAAAAATTTGCAGCTCACGTTTATGTAGTCCTCGTCCTCAGAACAGTCCTCTGCTCCACGTCGGCCCAGGTCTGGACTCCTCCTCCTCCTGGACTCTGAAGGAGCCTCGTCTCCTGAGGAGCGAAAGCTTTGACCTTCCGGAGATGATCTTCTGGTGGAAACAAAAACAAATCTAAATCTAGAGTTCTGGGTTTTAATATGTCCGCTGTAGGTTGACCATCAGATTTAGAGCAGTGTGAGATGGAACAATATGACCAGCCCACACAGTACTGGTCAGGTACAGTCCAGGAGAGCACCGTACCACAGATACAGTCAGATAACTTCAAGTCAGGGGTGGGGTGTGCTTTAGCTACAGCTCATAGACTAAAACAGCAACAACATTAATAACAATAATAATAAGCTAGACAAGGATCGACTTGACCTCCTAACCTTTTCCTCTCTGCTGTGATTATCTAAAAACCTCTCAGCATTTTTTTTCACATCGTTGAGAGTCTTTTCAAAATTTGATAATGACATCCAATAGTGAAACTTTACTTGACAGGAAGTCTGCACACAAACACGTGGGAAACGGTGTCAGACTAAAATCCAAACTAATGCCCACTTCTCTACTCTCTGCTCCACTCAGTGTTACAGAGAGGGTTCAACACTGCAGCTAAGGTGAAGTGAAGAGAAAGAGCACAGCAAAAGTCAATAGTTTTTGGAGTGTTCAATCTAGTGGTTCGACCGAAAAAGTAATACTGGATAAAAAAGTAGAACGTGTGTGGTCTTTAATATGGTCTGGACAGTGTGTCACAAGGGTGGAAAGACAGGGTTAAAAAGCAATTAATATGTGGTGAGATTATCTTACTGAATAGAAGATCCATGTGACTTAGACCTGGTTGAAGGTACAGGGAACTTGGCCTCTGGTGGAGGAGGTTTGGGAGGAACAGGTTTGTTGAGTCCGGTCTTGAGCTGAGCTGAGAGCAGAGGAGGGTCCGACAGTGGGGGCTGACAGAAGGACTCTGACGTCCCAGGTCTGACGCAAGACCCCGCAATCTGAGACAGTCTATGGTTGTTGGGTTTGTGGCCCAATGAGTTAGCTCCAAAAATGAGAGGGGGGTGAGTTGGTCTGTTCAGAACCATCCTGCTCTCTATCTGCTCACAGATGGGCAGAGTGGCGGGGTACGGGTGTGACGTGAGCCTGTGCTCTTTTTTAGTCCCATCAGGCTCAGTGGTTGGAGGCCCTCTGCTCAGAGGAGTCCTTTTTGGGTTGGGAGGAGGAGGAGGAGGAGGTTCAAGAGATGGGATTTTGTGCAGATGAGGGGAGAAGTGTATGGGAGGAGGTGGACCTTTGTTGGCATCCTTAGGTATTGGTGGAGGTGGAAATGGAGGCAGAGACTTTTTGGGAATGTGAAGGGTCGGCGACCTGTGGTGGGAGGGGACAGGAGGAGGTGGACCTTTGAGGAAAACTGGACTGGAATCGCGTCGAAATGCTTCTGGTACGGGTGGAGGAGGGTAGGAGGGAGGATGTCCTGGTCGACCTGAAGATAGAAGAAGATACAGAAGACATTTAATACATGATACATGATGATTAAGTGTTTCATTGAATTCCTTTGATTTATTTACACTTTTATATGTGAACTATGTTTAAGATTCACTGCTTGGCTAAAATGAGTTCCAAGAACCTTGAAGTAACGTTTACTTTTGTTTGACTAGTTATAAGCTTTTATCTTTTTATTTAGGTAACATTTAATTATAATTTAGTTCCACTCTCGTTCCACACTCAGTGTCTCATTGAATGGTGAGAAAGGCCAGTGTTTAGTTTTGCTTAAATATAGCAACTGTTGACTTATCGATGTTTTCTAGCTCTAGGTTGTTTATCTGGGAAATCTTTAACTCAAATTTGACAAACTTGTCGATATTGATCTAAATCTAAATTGAAAGGACTGCAATGCAGATCCACGGTCTGGACACACTTTTAGTTAACTTTGAAAGACTGTTCATTTTTCAGTCATTCGGTCTCTGTTGAAGTAATGGTGTTAACCTACTTGGATGATGAGCGTCATCACTTGTGGAGGGCGATGAACAGTCTGTGTCTGGTTTCAGATAGTCTTCCTCATCCTCCTCTTCATCTTCCTCCATGTAATCTAAACATGAGAGGACAGAAGTCAAACCCCGCAGAAAACCAAAATCAGAATCATCATGTGTTTGTCTTGGTCTGTGAAAGTCATGGTACCATCCTCGGTGTTACTGTCCAGGTGTTTAATGTCCATCGGCCGCTCGATTGAGCCATAGAAACTGTCAGCATCAGAATCTGAGTCACTGCAGGAAAAAAAACACAGATTAAAAAAAAGTTACCAAAAATAGAGCTAAAATAAAAAAAGTAAGAGAAAAAAACAAAAGGCAAATAAAATTTAAAAAAGGAAATACTAACTTAGCTGATTTTATGTGTCAAAATGTAAATGATGATTTTATAATAACATTTATAACTTGTACATGTCAAAGGTGTGATGTGACGTTACCAGGGGAGCGCGGTGTCTTTATGGTCATTATAGTAATCGATCTCTCTCCTCAGGTGTCGCATCCATTTCTGAAAGAGAGCCAAAGTCAAAGTGACGACTTTTCTGACAGGATAAACATTTAAAAAAGTAAAAAGGTGTGTGTGTGTGTTGTCTCACCCTTCTCTCATCTTCACTGGCTGCAGAGAAAATCCAGGTCCTATGTCTTTTACTGAAGTGAATGATCTTAAAAGGGAAAACATTACTGGACGTCGTCTCCTCTGCTGCTCTCATCACTCTGTGAACAACAGAACCAACAGAGGTACCCAAGATCAAAGGTTAGCCAGAAATATAACAAAAGTCGTTGTACTGAAAAAATAAAACCTCCCCAAAAATAATAAGACATTAACCAAAAAAGCTAAATGTTAAATACCAAAAATATAGTATGAAAGAAAAGAACTTGCTGGAATTATGTGAGAAAACACTAATAAGACAACAATTGCTAAATGTTAGCCAAAATATTGCAAAAAGAAAAAAAAAAAGAAAAAGTGTTGTGCTAAAAAAAGTCAAATGTCTAAAAAAATAATAAGAGCAAAACCAAAAAGATTTTAAGAAAACAACATAAACGTTAAACATTAAGTATGAGAGAAAAAAGCTTAGAATATGAGGCCATAACAGAATATCGCTAAATGTTAGCCAAACTATAGTACAAAGGTTAAAATTGGTTATCCTTAAATTATTAAAATGACAACAAAATAATAAAAGCCAAAACAAAAGAAAAATCACCTAGCTAACATACAGCAAAAAGAAGTAAATAAGTATTAAAAATTAGGTTACATTGTGTTGTAAGTGTTAGCAGAGTTAGCATAAATAAACAAAAGTATTTTGAAGACTGTCACAGAAATAAATTATCTGAACTTTTACTGTGGAGTCGCCCCCTGGAGGCCATTCAAAAGGACACAGGTTTTCAGCTCTTAACAACATGGCTCTGATGTTTGGAGCTTGGCTTCAAGGTAGTAAACATACCTGTTGTAACCGCTGAGAGAGAACGCCCCCTGTGGTGATGGGGAGGTACTGCTCTTGAAATAATACACACAGCCTTTGTGGACGATGACATATCTGAGTGGCCCTGCGAACACACATGTTATAATTCATTCACTGAGAGCCTTTACATAAATGTTGAAAATTCATCTGGAGATTTGTATTTGTAGTTACTGAGGATCAGAGACTTACATTTCATGAGGCTGAACTGACTGCCTCCTTTCTTATGAAGGTATCCTGCACTGGAAACTCCTCCAGGCATGGTGAGAAGGTTTTGAGCACCAATGGCTCTCATCGGTATCGGCCAACACACCTCTGGAGATGACATGGTCCTGCATCACACAACAGAAAAGAGTTGGTATTGTTACGACCGTTCACCACCACTGCTGGACTGTGATCCTGCAGGTGACAGAGCAGAGACAGCATCATGGTGGTGACTGCGACTCTCCGTGTTAGTGTCTGTTGTTGACACACCCTTAAATTACAAACCACCGGAGAAAAACTGTTCGATGGTGCATTTGTTTCAAGAACCAGTGAGCTGTTTGTCCAGTAACGACTCATCACCTTTCTGACACAATGAAACCCTGGACCAGAGACCAGGTGGAATCAAACCCACGACCTTCTACATTTCCCCCAATAGGAAAGCCTTTCTACAGGAAAGACCATCACTGTGACTGTCACACAGATCATCTTTCGAGACATCTTAGTAAAACAATGAGGTTCTTCTTCAGTTCCTCTGATGTAGACAAGGTTTCTTCACGTTCTCGCCCGATCTCTGCTTATACAGAATTCAGATCCGACATTTTTTCCTACCGTGTCTTTGCTCTGACGTTCCTGTCAAGGCTTTGAAAGACTGAGCTCTCCTTCAGTTTGCTGATGGTAGAGGAGAACAAATAGAGGTTCTCCATGACAGAAACGCCTGCAGATCCAGGACTCAGGCTCTTGGAATACTGTCCGTCTGATTGTGATTCACACATGAACAAACTGAAACCCAACTGCAGCTCTTTTAACGATAACGGAACTTCTTCATCTTGTTATCTCTATAATCGACTGCATCTACTGACCTCAGGAAATGTCTGTGTGTGTTTATATTTGCCAAATTCCTTTCACTCAGTGAGGTAAAACCTGCGGTAATGTTTCTCTTTTTATCGCTCTTCTTGTTGAGACTAAAACTCAAGTTGGAAAACAATTTATAACTCATTATACAGCATGGTTTATAGCTTTATTTACAGTGGTGTACCAAATTTGATCTATTATTTTAATTAATTTAATTATGTTTTTAACATGTTGTCTAAATTGTTAGTGTAAACATCTTCTCTTCCAACTTCAACTACTTTTGCTACTTCCTGGCTATTTTTGGGCTAACCTTTTATCTACTTTTTACTGGAATCACTTTGGAAAGTGAACGTGACCTGCACTTCTTCCTGGTACAGATTTTATAGAAGAAACTGAAGAACATGATCCCGACTGCCAAATAATGGAAGGAAAAGTTGTTAAAACACAGACAGGAAATTTATCAGCAGAGTTGGGTCAGTGCCAGTTCAGAGTGTGTTTCTTTGTGCGATAACCCACAGAGTCACACACAGTTCTAAGTAAAACTAAACCACATCTCTGCATCTTTGCGGCCAACGTTCAGCGGCTGCTTGTCGTCACTGCCAGAATTTCCTTAGCTCCTGGCTCTGCCCACTGAACAGGAACTCTTGTCTTGTGTTTCCCTTTTTCACTGAGTGCAGAAGTAGTTCTATTGTGTAGAGTGTAGACGCCCAAACCTACAACAGTTTTCTGGGTATTATTTTCAACAGTTTGTATCGTTATAAAGCTGTAATAACACCTGGTAGATGGACATGGGATTGTTAGGGACAAGTGATGAAAACAAGACAATGTTCTATGCCAACAAGCTGACAGAGGACAACATGTCTCTAGTCCTGTCTCAACAAACTGAAACAGAAGTTGCTCTGCTGCATTTTCAAAAAGTGCTGTCAATGAAACGGTTGTTCTTCAACATTTCATCCAATCATCATGCAGAAAACCACTTTCCATAGATCGAGTTAGTATCAGTGAAAGGGTTACACACTGAAGCTGAGCTTCACCAGGGTTTAATACACGTCACTGCTACGGCAAAGTGTGAGAGAAAGAATCTCATCAGACTGTGATCTGTGACAAACTGATGAATCTAAATGAAACTGGACTCAATTGATATCAGGTCGTAGTCAAAGTTAGCCTTTTTACAATTTCTCCGCAAACAACGAAACAAATGCCAAACAGAGATCTTCAGCAGTCACTGGCCAACGTAATGAACAGTTTTTGGAACTTTAACAAAAATAAATCTGTGGGAAACAGACTTAAAATAAATTAACAAATGTGAAATTTTATTGTTAAGTTTGTGTAAATGTGTGGCTTCTATTTGATTTAAAATATTGTTGACTTTTTTGTTGTTCAGTTCTGTGAAATCTGCTTAGGAACAAAGAGATCAGAATCATTTTAGGAAATATGAAAATGAAAGTAAGAAAACCCCGCTGAAGAATCTGATGTCAGTGCTTTCCTCTCATTGTTTGTTTTGGACACACATTTACTGTTACTGTATAACATACTTTCGGACACACATTTACTCATTTACTGTTACTGTATAACATACTTTTGGCTGCATGACAACTCTGTTTAATTTATGTATTTAATTAATATTTATTAAAATGATTTATCCCATCCAACTTCTTCATAATCTAATATATTTGCCTTTCCCATGTCAGTTGGCACATGTGCCTCCAGACGTCTTTTACAGAAAATAATACGTATTGTTTATCTGCGTCTGCACCACAGCTCTGGTCAGCTTTCTTCATCGAGCTGCAGCTGCTTCAACATAAACCCACAAGAATCATTGACCTCAACCCCAGCAGCAGCAGCAGCAGAAGTAAAGGTCACAACTACACCTGAGTCTGTGAGAGCTGCTGAAGAGAAAAGTACCATACTGTCAGATAGAAAGGGGCTGGCCTTTTTCACACTTCCTGTCCCAGCAGATGAGTGACCCTGGTGGTTTCAGAAAGCTCAACCATCTGTGCAGGAACCATGGGTCACAGCAGGGAGTCACTCACCGTTCTTTACTTCTAGTATTTATTGTTTATCAGGAAAATTACAGTATGACTGAGTCTAATTCAACACACACGAGCTGCACCATTGTCACCATCGTCCATAGGACAAACAGCACAGTGGCGCAGCGGAAGCATGCTGGGCCCATAACCGAGAGGGCGATGGATCGAATCCATCCTCTGCTAACCTGACTTTTCAAACTTTTTCTTCAACAGGTTAAGGACAACAATTCCCAAATTGGGATTAAAAAAAAGTTCAATTTTTTTTCAAGATCATTCTTAGCATCAGAAATCTGAGCATTTTCTTTTGACGTCAGTTCACTTTGGACTATCATCCATGATGGGCAGTGGTCCAAATGTCTGTTTGTAATGTATATGATGAAGTCAACAGACACCGATGGAGACCATAAACCACCAGCAACATTACTTCAAAATCCAGCTTAGAGTTTTTTCAATTTCAAGGGCAATACTGAGCAGTCACCATTTGAAGGTCAGGATTACACCAGGGCAGTCCTCCAGTCGAACAAAGGGTCACATTTCCCTCCGTTCTACCTTCAAATGAGACCTAAATGTAGAGATTTGTATTCTCCCAAAATTCATTTGCCACTGAATAAAGTTTCTGACCAGATCAGAGCTTCCTCATTTTCCCCCTTTGCTTCTACGGTCAATCTCATACACTGCCCACTACTGTACCAAATCAAATCAAAGATGAGAAAAAAAAAAGTTATCTGTAAGTTATCAGACTTGTATAAAAAAGCAGAAGAGAGAGAAGTATAGTCAACACCTGCAGCAAAAGCAGCAACATCTTCACTGGAATTCTAATAAAACCCCCCTTTTCCTCTTTCTCTACCAGTGACGTCTTCTGTCCATCACTTCCTGTGTCCATATATGGCAGCAAAAGGCCACAGAAACACCCATCACACTTGTGTTAGGTGAGGTGTTGTGGTCATGATGGTAATGAAGATGAACAAACCACACACAGAACTCGACTCGACAGCTTGGCCCAAAAGTTCACTGTAGTTCGTCTGTGTTGAAGACGACGCTCCCACAAATGTTGGACGGTCATGGGAATTTCAGTGAACGTACAGAAAACAGCCAAAGTGATGAGAAAGAACACCGTCACAACCAACCTGGATGTTCCGTACACTGGAGAATGTTAACTTAATTCATATATTTTGTAAGAATTATATGTTTTATATCTTTTAGCTAAATGTTTTTAACCTATTTCACTTATTTCTAAACGCCTGGTGACTTTTTTTGTTTAATGTTTTGATGTATTTTGTAGTTTTAATTTTTTAGCTTTTCTTCAAATAAATGTCAATTAAATATAAAAACTTTAATTGAGAAATTAAAGAGAAAAAAATCTTACTTAGTAAAACTAAAATTGCAAACTTAACGTAAATAAAACATTTTCTGATTATTACTTGCATTTGCTAATCTATTTTATTCTAATTAGATTAGATTGAACTTTATTGATCCCACACTAGAATATTTTAAAAGTTTATTGATTTATATTAATTTAATTTATTAAATTTTGTTTTTAAAAATGAGGTTTTCTAGATAAAATTCAGTTTCAGATTTAAATTTAATTTTAATTTGAGATCAGAGACAAATTCTTTACTAGTCCTTTTTCACAACTCCAAACCCTTAAAGTTTTGCCACAGCTTGTTAAACAAAGTCTGGAAACGAACCCTCAACCCTCTGGTTCAACTTTCCCACAATATACTGCACTAAACGCATAAATGGTTTGCCAGCTGCAGTCAAACAGTTCTCCACTGAGAAGTCAATGAAAGTGGAACCAAAGCAAAAGCGAAAAAAAAAAAAAAAAACACTAAAAAAATAAGAAGGAATTAAAACGGGAAGAGTGAAAAACTGAAGAAATGCCCAGATGGAACTTCAAACTTACATGCTATCTCTTTGTTCCCGAACACAAATCCTGACACTCGGCTTGGAATTCCGAGGCCCTGACCTCTTCCTTACGGACAGAGCAGACACGTTTGTGGACATGTTGGTGTGAGGACGGCAGCAGAGAAGAGCATAATTCAAAAGCAAAAACACAAGGACGGGGCGAGGATCTGACAGAGGACGGAGAAGAGGAGTGGAGGCTGCACAGACGAAGAAAGTTCAAGAAACGAGAGACGAGAGGACTGGAGACGACCAGTCCTGTAGATGACAAAGTGTCAGAGTGGTCTGCTCTGTGAAACCCAGATACCACCAACACAACTTCCTGTCAGGGCCTCCACCTCCATCCTCGGCTTCTCATTGGTCAACTGGCTGCAAAGGGTTTCTTCCTGTTTCCTCTGTGCTCACGTGTGATTGGACCACGGACACAAACCACAGCATTACACACAAATGCACTCTTTACAGTTGGAGAGAGAGACAGTGAGAGAGAGAGAGAGAGAACCTAGGAAACAGACCAGGCGGGGGACTTTCCACCTGTTGAAGCTGGAACAATAAGGGGAGATCACACACACACACACACTCACACATACATACAATCTTTCAGAGGTTAGACTTTCTTTTCCTTGGTCTCAACCATCTGGCCCTTTCCGTTCCACTACCTCCATCGGCTCATATATACTTTATATCCGATTATATGCACTGGCCCAGCTCTGACTGTCGTTCTGACAGAGACAGCTGAGACCTTCCTGACGTAGACCTTACCCTTCTGTTACAAGACGAGGTTTGTTTAGTCCGGTCGAGGAGTAGATGAATGTGAGCCAGCAGACAGACTTCCATGGAGCACATTCACATAAGAACAACTGACAACAGTGGGCTACTTCAGCTGAGGAAGTCTTCAGCTTTACTGTAGATGACCCTGACATGTGGCATCAACTCTTAAACTCTGACATTGGTCATAACTCTGATTCTAACCTGTCTCTAAAGCCAAACCTTGACTCTTGCAGGTGGAAAGACCAGCTGAAATGTTTTCTTTGAATTGGAACTTTAAAGTAACAAATTAAAGTTCAAATCAGGAACTTAATTATTTCTCATTAGGACCCAAATTATTGGACGCTTGAAAATAAAATAGAAAAAAATGAGCTTTGATCAGGACACACCCAATCACAAACACACAATCACAAAACCGTGCAAGCAATCAAAAATACACTTCAGTGACACCACACTTCAGCCCAGGCTTCAGTACTCGTTAGTGAGTCAGACGACTTTTAACAGAACTAGTCAACTTGCAATGTTGACCTTCAGTCAACCATTGACATAAAAATTATTTTCTGCTCCATCAGGACCAGACGTTGGTCTCCATCAGGAGAAATGGACCTGAAAATGTTCATGTTTATTCCAGAAACAGTGCTATAAAAGATGGTGGTACAGAGCAAACAACACACATGCCTCTGTGATCTGGCGTTAGCAGCTCCACAGAGAAGTCAACAAAGTTTACGAACTTCTCACCACAAACTCAATAAAAAAACAAGAAAAGAAACTCAAGCTTCTCCACATGTCGATGAAACGCTGCCATGATGTCTAAAAACTGTTTTCTGCACTCATATAAGATCAGTTTATATAACTAATTACCAATGAAAATGGATTTTAAACAACCTAATGTTAGACAATATGCAGATGACACCTGGTTTTATAACATTCTCCGTATGTTTGATCTGATTTGGAAGAAAAAACATAATTACCTTCATCAGACTTGTTTAATTTCATGAAACTGCAAAGCTGTACTACCAGGTTCTACCATCAGCCCATGATGTAGAGTCTGGGTGTCTGCTCATCAACTTCCTGATTATAAACCATCCTTTCATGGCTTTAACACACTATAAACACAAGTGGAAGGAAAAGTGTAACAATTTCTCTTTCCAAAAATAAATAAATAAATAAATAAATAAAACATCTTCCTGTTATTTAGGAACTATTTTTTTCCAAGCGTACACAGCACCACCTTGGGGATGTGAAAGTAATGCAGTAGAGAAAGCACAACCTAATTTTCTCTCACAATGACTTTATGTCTTTTTATCAAACTATACTCATTTAGGGACAAGTGATAATGATGATGGTGATAATGATGACTATAGTAGTATTGAAAAACAAAATAAACGCCAAGAGACATTTTGTAGTTTTAAATATTTGACTGAGAACTGATTACAATTACAATTGGTTTCAGTGTTTTCACCAACAAACTGTGTTAGATTTGAACTCAGAAATAAAAGAAAAATGGAAGGAAGGTGTCACTGACTCCTTGTCACTGTGACACAGCTCACCACTGAACACAACCAAATGTGACCTCTGTTTTTAACCCATCACCAAAGTGAACAGTGGGCACAGGTGCCATGCTCAGAGCACCTCAGTGGTAACTTGGCAGCTGGTGGACTCAAACCTTTCGTACCCAAGTCCGCTTCCTTAACCACCACGCCACCACTGCCTTGATGCGGGGAGATCACTGAGAAAAGAAATTATTTATAAAACCTTCATCTCAGATCAAACCAAAGTGAACTCCTGTCCAACCCTGGTTTACAATTTGTTTTTTATCTTTGTCCCTAAACATGTAATTTCATGTGCATGTTACCCAGGCCTCCAATAGGTGGCTAACAGTCACAACATGATATCTGCAAATGAACAACAAGTAGTTAATTTAAATGGTATATATATTTTAGTGCCATCACCTGGACCAGCTCATGTAATAGTCAGGAGAAACCACACCCAACTTAATATAAATTAATGATTTGCAATCGTATCAAATTCATTTTTAATCCTTACTTCCTGTCCCACATTGTGCCAGTCAAACACCACTGTTGTCCCACATCTTACAGTTTGGGACCAGATCATCGTGTCCAGATACAGACAAACAGACAAGAGCTGCAGAGGGATTCTAACTCAGCAGCAAAACAAACTCAAGAGTATGTTTATATAAAAGTTTTAAAACATCTTTTTGTATTAAAAAGAGATCTCTACTTATTGGACGTTGTTTCTTTCCAATATAAGACTTTATTAATTCAGTCAGTAATTAAATTAAAATACATAATTAGAATGTTGAAAAACATTTTTGTGTATTTAGAGGTGGCCAACGTTCAGGTTAATTAATAGCAAAATAATGAAAAATATTTTTAAACTTAAACACTCAATTACGGTTAGAAAAAACATATATAAACTATAATTTGAGCTTTCATAAAAAAAATGGAGTGAATCAGATGCAGGTCAAAGCTCCTGTAAACTTCATAACAATTTTACTGATTAAACTAAAAGCCTTTCATTACGTGTTTCTAAATCCTAAATGTGTGTTTGGTTCAGGTCATTGGACTCACCCATGGAGCTCTCACGGTGCTGCAGCTTCTCCGTCTTCAACGTCTCATCAGAGGTTCCAGTCGTGTATGGCTCTGAGATCAGATGGACTTCCTGCTGTGGGCTCTCTGTCTTTTTTGTATGATACTGTATGATGAAGTGTCACAACACCCTCTTTCAACCACAGGAGACGCTGGCTGCAGCGTTCACACACACACACACACACAAACACACAGCGTGGTCAGGGAGCAGAAATAGATTGCAGTTAAAACACAGTCACTTTACTGAGTAAAGTAAAACAGTTGAAGTGCTGTTATCAGTAGGAGTGACTGAAAACCTTCTAATCTGCTGTACATCTCTACTGTACACATTCTGCAGCCAGAAGTGCATGAAAAACGAACTTCCCCTTTCCTCTTAGCGCCTGGTCAGCAATTATGTCATAAACAGTCACCCACACAATAATTAAAGTGAAGCCCACGACTGCACTGCAGACCAAAATTAGCTCTGAGCGCAGAGAGCAGAAAAAAACAAAACATGAATGAACAAAGTGTCACATCCTACATTCAGGAAGTCTGAGAGTGAGAGGATGAGAAAGTTGTTGCACATCAAAAATCACATGCGTTCACAATTAGCTATGGTTAGCCCAGAAATAGCTAAAAGGTAGCAAACAATATAGATACAATTAGCCATAAGCCTACAGTTTCAACAGGTTAAGAGAATTTCAAAAACATGGCATGAATGTACCAACATATCACTGCAGCTAACGCAGTAACAGCTAGACGTTAGCCACAGTTAGCAGAGTACAGTATTAGTTTTGGTTCCTTCTGTAGGAAACAGTCCTGGCTTTTTGTCAAGCTGTCTCCTCCTACAGGAAGAATGAATTCACGCTGGTTTCCCTTTGTTTCTGAACAGACAGTGATCATTACATATGTCCGTGGGAGGTGAGGAGCAGCTTCCTCACCACAACTGCTCCACCTCTAGACCACCTACTGGATGGAGAAGGTGGAGGAGTCTTTGGTCAGTGGATAAACAGTGACTTCACTCAAACACACAGCCTTAACAAATGCGAAACTCTGTGAACCTAATGTCAACTCATGTTCTTCAAGCTCCTCACGAGGGTGGAACTGGACCTCAGAGCTGGACCTCAGACCTTCAGATCAGTTGATTGAAAAAGTCAGGTGTGCTGCTGTTTGGTTAGAACAAAAAGCTGCAGCCACCGAGGTCCTTTCTGGAACACTTAGTTTAGAACCTAAAAACCAAGACCATTTGTCTTAGTTATAAACTTGTATGGTCCACCTCAGGAGGGTGGGGTTCTGCTTCTGCTACATACAGAATGGTGTTCTAATGTTAGATGTGGTGGAGCTGGGTCAGTAGGAACCAGGACAGAGTCATAATGTAGGAACAGTATTGATCCACACGAAAGACGTTCCTGGTCCTAACACAGCCTACTTTCACTGATGTTGTTCATGAGCATCGTAGAGAAGTGACCTTCATCTGATGTCTGACCTCCGGCTGTATTTTCTGCTGTTACGGACCTAAACTAATGTCATTAATAATCCCTTTAATGTTGACATTTGGGGTCACACACAGGAGGAGTGGTTCTTTCTTTACAGCAAAAATGGTCCATGGGTTGAACTCTGGAGTTCTGGTGGTCCTGGGAGAGTGTCATAAGGTGAAGAACCACTGCACTGGTGACCTGTTCTGTTTGTAACCTGTCCTGAAGGGCTACAGCTCAGACTGTGACTCTGAAGAAAGAATAAAGAGGCAGCAAATGAATTAATTCTGATCTCAGGTTGAAACTTCCCCAGCAGCAATTACATAAATGTACCACTGAAATGAGGTTGCTAGTCATTACATTTCCTGTTTGTGGACACGTGACCACCAGCGCTGCTTCTGCTTCGTCTGCCTGAGCAGACGAAGCAGAAGCAGTGTTCTAGGGGGATAAAAATAATTCCACCCTATGTTACCTTTACCTCCGCTTCGTGAATTTGCATGATGCTGGTTTCTTCTGAATGTGGGGACGTCAGCAGGAGAAACCTGTAGGTGTGTGTGGTAATTTAAAGGAGGAGGCGATGGCAGAGAGCAAAGAGAAAATCGCATGGTTCAGTAAACAACTCGGGTGTGACATTTTCAAAATGACATTTTTACCAACTAAATCTACACCTACGCCTGTTTTTTTTTTTTTTAAACACTATATGTTACCAGTGATTCATCAACACACCACAAACAGTGTTCCCATCAACTTCCTGAGCTGCAGATTTTCCCTTTTTAAGTTCAGAAAACAAAACTCTTTTGTTTTAAAGATTCATTTAGCCAAATTTGTTTTGATAAACGTTAACATCTCAAGTGCATGGTGTTTAGGTTACGGTTGATCTGACACGAACCACAATAACATTGTTTTGTTTTGTAACAATTTTACCACGGTTAAACATGTGCGCTCTTTGCAGGTTAACTCAGGTCTAACTTTAGAGTGGAAAAATAAAACACAGAAATGAGCCCAGCGTGGGAAGCAGTGTCTAGAAGCACAAAAAGCCGCAAACTGTTTAGTCAGTGTTTAATCTTAGCATTTACTGTGATCTTCAGCTTATTTTTCATCTTTACCAGAAGTTGCAAAAAATAAAAAGCTGTGTTAAGGTTAAGTCCCTTTAACAGGAGTTAGCTATGATAACTAGCCACGCTAGTTTAAATGACAGGTGGCATTTTCATGTAAAAACCTAAAAATATCCTGAGGAGAAGTATTGTGTTTTTTTATCTGTGTGTGTGTGTGTGTGTGTTGACTTTGTTGTTTCCTCTGTAGTGACACTGTCTCTGAAGTTCTCGTCCCACGTGTCCTTACAGCTCCTCCTCTTCCTCCACCCACCATTCTGCAGAGAGAAACACAGTGAACTATTATTATCGCACTGACAGGAAACACTGAACCACAACAGAGACATAGAAGACAGAGGACAGAGACACAGTGGACAAAGACACAGTAAACTTTAATTATCACACTGCCGGCAGCCACTGAACCACAGAGGACAGAGACACAAAGAGACAAAAGGACAGAGACACATTACATATTTATTATCACACTGACAGCAAACACAGAACCATAGCAGAGACACAGAGGACAGGAAGATACAGAGGACAAAGACACACAAACAAAGAGTCAGAGACACAGTCAACTTTCATCATCTCACTGACAGAACCAAAGCTAGAGGCTTTCAGAAGATTTGTACACAGAGAGGACAAAGACACATTGAACTTTTTTGAATCACACTGACAGGAAATACTGAACTAATGCAACAGTCAGAGACGCAATAAACCGTCCACTTGAGTCTGTTTTGTACTGCTGTCACTCAGGTCAGTGTTTGTGCAGGTCTAGTCTAGTGTCGTCTTTTGTCCAGTCTTGTTTATTCAGTGTATGTATTTTAACATATGATCATTTTCGTTATCTTACCGCGTCTCCAAATAAAGGAGATTGCTATCCCCTGCTGGTCGGCCAGAGAGTGAAAAATAAAATAAATTACAGAAATACAACGACTCCACCTAGTGGCAACTACGTATACTGCAGGGGCAACGTCGCCCCTGCTCATGGGGATTATAAATTTATAGTTGTTATCTTATTATTATGATTATTATTGTAATTACAGTGGCGTACTGTCAATTTCTCATCAAAGCCTTCAGTTCTAGTTCTAGGCGCCCTGCCTGAATACAGCAATATCTTAATGACGTCAGTATGGTTATATATAAACACTATTATTATGCAGAAATGTGGTATAATATATATCCTAGATAATTCAAGTATCTTTAATAACACCATTACAACAAACCCATGAAGCACAATTTAGTAACAGCTGCGACAGTTATTGAAAAAAGAAAATGCACTTTACTCACCAAAACTAACTAGTTGTACACCCCCCTCCTCTGTTTCCTTGATAGTTCAACAACAAGTATCTCGACTATGCTAATGCTAAAGGGCCAGTCTGTCCTATAGTATGTTTTAAATCGCTTTAGGCTCAGAATGTCCGTTCAGCGTTAACAGTGGACGGAGAGAAAACTTTATTTTTTATCGTGCAAGTCGCTAAATGCAGTTTTCGATATTCAAGACAGTGCGTTCGCTAACCATCCAATCAAATCACTCAAATCGCCAGCGTAGCTCTGAGCCAACTAGAAGGCCTTAATATGCCAGTATGATGTCAACTCAGAATCTGATTGGTTAAAGAGACAATCTCCTCTCATCACTCCCAGCGCCTGCACGGAAGACCTGAAGGGAATATTTCTTTCAACCCTGGCAACACGTGAGATTGAAATACGATTGGATAAAAACAACAACAACAACAACAACAAAAAACAAGTCGTGTATGCGTGACTGGAAACAGCGAAACCATAGAAAATCAGAGAGCAAGAATGAATGATGACAACAGAATAGTCTTATTATTTTACAAATATTCATTATAAATATATTGAAAAATGAGTCTCTGATTCTGTTGAGGCCCTGCTGGCCTTGATGGTTCGCCAGTGTGACAATAAAACCTCAGTCAGTTGTTCTGACCACAGCTGTATTGTTGACCTGAGACACTGTCTCTTTCTTTAGGTTCAAGCTGTCTAATGTATTGTCCAATATCGACCTCTAGCGGACAGTAAGTGAAACACAACTAAGTGATCAAATCTAAATTTAGCTTCAGTACGAGCGGAGTGTTAACTCGTCATGTCTTCATCCACGTAGAACGTGTTACTGTAACGGTGTTTGTTAAATGTCACACGTCAGACAGTCTCCAAGTAACACTGCACATTTACTTGAATAATGTACTACAGTACAATTTTTGAGTATCTATGCTATACTTTGAACAGTATATTTTTAAATGTATTACTTTTACTTCACTACACTACACTTCACTACTTTTAAGAATAATTTAAGGTGTTCTGGTGTACTTTTTTCCAGACTGCATATTATTTATACTCTCCCTGATAATACATTGTATATAATAAAAATAGAGGCACAAAATAAACAATGATATGTTTTTTTGTAATGCACTTTTTTAACCTGTCAATGTGTTAAATGTATTTTTTTCCTTCATCTCTCCTCCAACAAACTATTTAAACAAACTATTTTAAACTTAAACAGTTGAAGTATAAAGTGTGACCAGTAGAAGACCCATCGGTGATAAAAGCAGCAACAACAACAGCACTGGATAAAAACAACAAAACAGACAGTGAAACAGAGTGTTTCCTATCATTAAACTTTTAAAGCTTAATTTCTTTTTTTACAGCCAGACACAAGATCATGTCTGTTCCTAATATTAAGGACAAAAAGAAACAGCCTTCAGTCTGAACCACAGTCAGCAGTCAACAATAAAACCACATTCAATTAGGAGTCATGAAAGCAGAGGAAGAGTCCTTTAGAACCGCCGTGGTTCACACAACATTGTGTGAATAAAAACAAACTCCTCTCAGAGCCACCGACTTCCTGTCTGTTCTCAAGGTTTTTGATCTTTCACCATTTTGGCCTTTTGTTTGTTCCAACCATTTTTGGCCTGCGACCCCTTTTTGACATCACAGATATTTTTGGCAAATACAAAGTGAAAGACTACAGTTGTTTATGATTGTGTGCAGTGTTTTCAATCATAATTTTCAAAAGAATAATAATGAGTTGAAAAATTGTTTTTATCAGGAACAATTTTGCGATCCTAAGGTAACAAAATACTGGTTTTTCAGCTTTATTTTTTACTTTAAAAGAGCAGCAGATGGAGGTACCTCTGGGATAGACGTGGAAGTGAACTGGTGTCCATGTAAGGATACTTCCTCTTCAGATGTGGAAACTCCTCCTCCTCTGTAATTATTGTAGCCTTTTCCAGAGAGAGCTGCCGTTCTGTTAGTGAGAAGACGGTGACATATCAGTGACATAAGACTTTTTAAACACAACATTTGCTCACGG